TCCATGATAAGAATGAAACTGGTTCATTCTCAGGCATATCCACACCTTCCCTTCCAGTCTCCTTGCAAACAGCTGAGATGGAAGGTTTTGCAATTTAGCACCAATTTGTAGTGATGTCTGAATGAGGAAGCGGTAAAAATTGTGGTTTTTTGCTTACTTATAAACTTGAATCCTAAAGAATGGTTTAATTCAAATTTAGAATATCAGTTTCTATGCAAGAATCAAGCCAAACCCCAATTTGTTAAGGAAATATAAGAATAAACCAGGCTGATTTTCATCATGAACAAGGTGGAGTTTGCTTTAAATGAAACCTCAGTTTGCCATTGATACACCCAAGAATACAGGAAACTTCTCCTTCCCTTGCACTTCCATACTTTGTATCAATACTTCTCCAATTTGCTCATGGTCAAACCATGTAGCAGTTTAAATGTTTGACACTCCATCACTACATTGTTTTAGGAGTTTCACTGTCCAGCCCCCCTCCCCACACACAAACAAACAGGACTTCTGCACTTGTAACTATGTAACATTTGACTTCAAAGTGAGATCTGCATCTGTTTATGTTCCACTGCGAAATAAGTTTAATGTGTCCGTAGAAGGTCATAAAAGCTTTAAGGACAAATCAATGGCTTTTGTGCATACGGGGTTGTTCAGAATTCCCATACAAAGAAACCTTTCTAGTGACTTTAATGTTGCAAACATTTCCATGAATGGATCTCTACTGCACATCTGGACCACTTTGCAGGCATTGATAAGTGGGGCTCTTATGCGCATAAACACACTGTGTGCAGTGACCGACTGCATAGCTTTAAGCAGTCTTTAGCATGTAAATAAAAGGAAGCTAAAGCCATCAAAGAATACTGAGGTAGTACATGAAGAATAGCCTCAGTCCGCTTTTAATATTTTCCTATCCTCTATGTAGCTCAGTAGTTAGTATTGGAGGAAATCGTGAAAGATATATCAAGGGCTTTAACTCTGTATCAGAACAATTTTCATTTTCCAGTCAATGCATATCTTATTTCTTCCACCATTAATTCTACAATGTGGTCTCAATTGTATCGGTAAAAAGTGGGAAAGAGCCCATCCTGACCCAAACTTTTCTGAATTAATAAATGTTCTTTATCAAAGTATTATACAGATTAATGCACCACAACTTACACAATGATTAAAATGACCCTTTGTTATGGGAACTAGCAGCACAGACCTGAAAAACTTAATTGCAAGGAAGTTCAATGTCATCCAGCAACAGCAAGACTAGAATCTGTTAATGTTGCTTCATTTGACCTGCATTGACAGGTTAAAACCGCTGGGAAATAGCAAAAGGCATTCTCTGTTCTTAAACCGCTGTTTCTATTGTTCAGCTATATCTAATGTTAACGAAGGGCAGAAGTTAAGCGCTGTTGTCTTGACATCTCCACATTTTTTAAAAGGCAAAACTAAATTATAGTAAGTGGTAAAGGCTCGATTACAGAGGTAGATTTGGCCAGATGACCTGCTAAATACTTGCTTCATTGTTGTGACATCAGAGGACCAAGTGATGCCACTAGAGATGAATGGGTTGCTTCCAGAATGCTCTATCTGGTTTTCAGGATCTAGATGGTGACTATTCTGATGCCTCACCACGGTGTGAAATATTACAGTTATGGAGGCAACTGATAGTATCACCCTTCTACGCTCTGAGAAAAACCCAGATCCTTGGTATAACAAGTTGCTGGAAGAAATGCTAGGGATGCCAAGTGTCCAGTTTTGAAATGGACAGTCCAGTATTTCCCCTTTCTCCAGTAAACAAACTGAAAAATTACTGGATGTATAAATGTCCAGTATTTTCTAATTAAGTAAGCCTGCAACCACCATGACCAAAATCCATGCATGTACTCTTTCTTTCTCCTTTGGCTTGATAAAGTGGTGACACCTCCATGTTCGTTCTCCATTGCAGCCATCAAGGTCTGAAAGCAACCAAATCCACCCCTCAGTGGCCAGGCAGAAATTCTTTTGGCTGGAAAGCGAGAGACTTTTGAAGCTGATCGATCACCTTCCTATATTGATTCCAACTGACTGTGGAAAGAGATGGTAGCATGAATCTTCTAAAACAAAGTGAAAAAGAGATATTGGGGGATCATGGTGGGGGGGGGGGTGCTGGAGATTTTGGAGGCAGTGAGTCCCTTGGAGGTTGGTATGTGAACAAAGTGTCTGCCTTGTATTTTTATCTTTTGCACGGTCATGGCAACTGCAGGCATATTGTTGCTATTAAATACTTTAAATCTGCAATATTACCTGCACAAGGCTGCACTTTACCTGCAAGTAAGCACCACTGAGCTCACTGAGTTACTTCTTGCAGCCCCGTTTGCTCAGGGGGCCAATGTTTTGCTCAGGAGGCCTGCCATTATATGTCTGTGTAGTACTGCCATGCCATGCTCATACTTCTAAATAATAACTAAATAATAAATAGTAAAGGTAAAGGTTCCCTTGCTCGAAAGCCAGTCAAATCTGACTCTAGGGTTGCGGTGCTCATCTAAGAGCCAGCGCTGTCCGAAGACGTTTCGGTGGTCATGTGGCTGGCATGACTAAACACCAAGGCGCACGGAACACTGTTACCTTCCCACCGAAGTGGTACCTATTTATCTACTTGCAATTTCTTGCTTTTGAACTGCTAGGTTGGCAAAAGCTGGAACTAGAGACGGGAGCTCACTCCGTCATGCAGCACACTCGGGTCTCGAACTGCTGAACTATAAGTGGTTTATTGCAGATCATAGTCCTCACATATGTATTATCAACAAGAAGGACTATAAATTCTGTGTATTTTAATGTATTTTAGTGTATTTCTTTTTTCAGGATAGTATATTCGAATACTGAATGTATGCAATGGATATTAGGATGTCTGTTGACATAACAGCATTTTTTGGAGGTGGATGTAGTGACCCTATAGATTTCACATGTATGTTTCAGCCATCATCTTCAACGCACTCCTGCCGGGCAAAGTTCTGGCTGCTTCTGGACCTCAGCTGGCTTCAGTCAGATGGCTGCCCCTTCCTCTTGGCTGGAGGGGGGAGGCCACACGGTGAGGGAAAGGAGGCCAAGAAGGGTACAGAGGGCTGGTCCAGGATGCCGGCAAGGCAAGCATCCAGGCTGCTGCTGCCGCAGAGGGAAAGACTCACACTTGGAGAGGATTACCCACTGCTGACCCCACCAGCCTCGGAAGGACAGCGGGGGAGTGGAGAGAGAAAAGCCAGAACCAAACCCACCCCTCATGACCTGCCTCCGAGGTGGCAAGGAGAGGAGCCCCCTGGCTGGTCTCCAGTGGCAGGGGCCAGGCAGGGGGAGAGAGCAGGGTGCCTCTTTCTCATCCTCGCAGGAGCCAGACCGGCCATGGCAAGGAGGGAGGGAAGCAGGCGCCCAGGAGGGAGGCATGGCAGTTGGCAGGTGTCCCCTCCCCTCTGACCTCCTGGCAGCAGCAGGCGGCATGGAGTCACCGGCTGCTGAGGTGAGGACAGCAAGGGTGGGGGGAGGGGGAGCGAAGGATCGGGCTGTCTGGGCCTTTGAGGGAGGTCTTATCAGGGTCAGGCCTGGAAGCAACTACTGGGTGACGTGATACCACCTAACTTGCATGACTTACCTAGGCCTGGCTGTTTGCTACTGTTCAACAGCAGCCACCTAATGAAAGTGTGGTATAGCAGTTAGCGCTTCATGCTAGGATGTGGGAGACCCAGGTTCAAATCACCAGTCTGCCATGTAAGCTCAGTAGGTGATGTTGTACAACACATATTTTCAGCCTCACCTACCTCACAGGGTTGTTGTGAGTACAAAAAGGAAGAGAGAATAATGTAAGCTGGTTTGGTCTCCACTGTGGAGAAGGTGGGGTATAAATGAAGTGAATAAATAAATATAACTGGAGATGGGAGGTAGATAAAAGTAGGTTGGTGAACAGCTGAGAAGGAGGAAATGAGGCAGGGAAACAGGATATGGGGGTTGCCAGGAGGAGGGAAAAGGGAAATAACATGGGTGAACAAAATACAGGAGAAAGTGATATTCCCCACCACAAGTCCTTGACGGTTCTGTACTGTGCCAGTGGGACTGGCCTAATGGCTGGCACCACACAACTGTGGCATAGTTTTCCTAGGTAGAGGCTGCTGGTGGGGGGAGGAAAAGTTGAACACAGAGGGGCAGATAAAGATAGGTTGGCTGTTGGGTGGTTAGTAGGTAAAGTGGGGGAAACTATGGGGGCTTTCAGGGAAGGAAAAGAGGAAATAGTGGGGGAGTGGAAATGAGATATTCCTCTTACAAGTCCTTGTGGGTTCCTGTCAAACTCTAAATGCCATATCTGTCAAAGTATTGAAACAATATAAACAACTAGAGAAACAAAAAAAAGTGACTGATTGTCAATGGTGTTACTTTGCTTTGGATGGCACTGTACGTATGTTAATTGCACACAATCCCAGTATCTAATATTTAGTGAGTATTCAAGTTCCCTCTTATCAAATTACTTTCAATTCTGGAATACAGAGGGGAAAAAGCTTGAAGGATAGAGGAAATATTTTCTAATTAGAGTATTCCAGCACAGAAGAAAGAGGTAAAGAGACTGTGAGGTAGGTCAAAGGTTAAACTGCAGAGCAAATTGCAATTTAGCATTTGATTCAGCTTTAGCAAATACCCTATTAATGAACCAGACCTTTATTGGAGTTCATATCAATGGTGATTATACTTTTGCTGACAACTCATTTCACCTTCTGCATAATGCCTTACAATCGGCAAGGAATAAAATATTAATGCCAACAAAGATCAGACACTTTGTGTGCCTCATTGCAACTTAATGTCTTTTAATTCAAGTAATTAGCTTTCTGTTTCTTCTCCCAGAGGCTATTTCCAATATGAAATAAGATATCAAAAAAGCCAAACTTGCTGACATGAGTACATTAATTGGACAAAATCATTAAGGCTAATTTTATCACATAGGTGTTGGTTGTTTGTTTACAGAAAAAAGAGCTTAAATAAGTATATGGTACCTCATCTAATTCCATTTCATCTGGGCTCTCCCATGGGTTGATAAATTTCCCATGAGACTTCTTCAAAGGCACAATTACGATATAGTAACCTCTGCAAAAGAAACAAAAGATAGCAGTGAGGTTCGCATAAAGAGCATGGTGTGGGCAAGTTGTTTCAATATAAAGGCTACCTACTTGTATACAGAGTAACTTCTAAGCAAAATTATGATATCCAGAAAAAATCAACAAAATTGGGCACTACTGACAATGGTCAGATATAAATTCAAAAAGCATGTATCTATGAATACTAAAGAAATTTAATGTAAATATTTTTTATAGTGAGGCAGGTGGTTTTTTTTTCCATTTTAGATGCAACAGACATATGGCAGTAGCATTTTAAAATTAAAACCAAAATCAAACATTGGAGCATCATACTACCATGTTACCTGGATAACAAGACAACAGAATGTATATGTTAATTATCTCTTTGTTACACACACACACACACACATACTGCCAGGGAATTTGCAATAAAGCAACCAAATGCCTCCCTTCCTCTTGCAACCATTTTAAATAGTGTATCAGAACAGTAGTGATGCCGTATGGAACTTTGTATGGAAAACTACTACCAGCATGTAAAACAGTAAAATAATTATTAAAAGGAAAAAGTCTGCACACAAATGGACTGAGCAAGGGGTACTAAAAAGGTGCCAACTTTCAATCTCTGTCCCTCAACTCTGTACATTCCCTAGCTGTTCTTATTCTAAGGCAGTCTCTTTAAGCATAGAAAGTACACCAATCTCAAAGCTTCCCATTATTTTGGAATCTTTTTCTGGGCAGCAAGCGCTTTGTCCGCTCCATGTGGCAATGACAGTCATCAAGCTCAAACCCAGTGTGAAAGCTCCTGTATAGAAAAAGTATTTTCTAAAATCCTTCCTGCCTGGGCCAGATGGCCTTAGCTGGTAACACTCCCGTGTGATTTCTGTCACCTGTGCAGATGGCCTGCCAGCTGGCCAGGCTGCATATCCATATGCAAGACACTTTGAAACCTCTGCCAGGACAGAGCGACTTTCCGGCGCCTTCCCAAGCATGGGAAGAGGTATGCCCAGTACATTAGCACATCAAAAGCATTCCCTGACATATGGTCACTGGAAGAGGCTGGAGTGGGATGCCCAACTCCGAGCCAATCAAAACATCAATCAAAACATACCTTGCCTGACAACGCATGGTAACCAGAGATTGGACACGCCTCCCCACTCTCTCACTATTGGGTAAATGGCCATACCTGGTGGTGACGGAAGGGGGGTATAACTGCAATAATCCATATGGGAGAAAAGAAGTTCCTCTCGGGAGACAAAGAGGTCTTTTGGACTGGCTGTTTGTTTGTACCATGGGGTTCCTTTTCAAGATCCCCTGGTGAGACCTTGGACTATTTCATCTGATACCTCTAAAATCCTGGTAACTACTGAATACCTCTATTGTGTAGTTAGAGCTGAACAAGCTACAGATAACATTTGTTTTCTTATCTTTTGCTAGTCTCATGTTATAGGCATGCTTGTGCACTGAATAAAGGTAATATATAATCAATATTAACTGGACTTGTTTCCTCTGTTGCAACCTGATTTCTAAGACTGAATCTTGTGTCTAAGCCGTTCGCCTAAGGAGGCTACCACTGTGTTGCAGCCCTAGTACAGAGGTGGTAAAGTTGGTAAGTCCCATAAATCAGGCAGGAGTTGGGGATCTCTGCTCCTGATCCTTAGTGGGGATTTTTTGTGAGAGATCCTGGTGGCAGTAACTACTGGTAAAGCCTGGAGAGTATACAGACATTCTCCTGGGGTTTGTTTAATTGTTGCTGAATGCTTGGTTTAACTCCCATCCCTGGACTCGGGTGAAAGAGAAACCTTGACAGCTCCTTCCTCTTGATGAAATCAGCCAAAATCCAGCACTCTCCCTATGTGCCAATGGATTTTATCTCTTCTGTCTGACCACCCCTTCTGTGGGTCAAATCTCTCCTTCCTGGAGTCAGTGGAAAAATCCTATCTAACCTCCTGCATTCCGAATCTTTGACAGCTTCTGGGTGTGAGATTCCAGACAAGTTGTTGTCCATTTGCATTTGCAAAGCATTGGTGGTTCAGTACTCATTAGAACCACTGACAGTATGGGTGATATTTGGGAGCAATTGATTTTCCCCCTCCTGCCTGTCTACAGCTTACAGACAAAAACTTTAAAAAAACCCACCTTGGGTTTTGGGCACACCTGAAGCCTCAAAATAAAATGCATTTCTCCACAATCCCAATGAGGAACACATACAGGGACTAGTAGCTTTTCTCCGGAAATAGAAAAAGTTCCTGGGAGCAATATGGTATAGAAACTGACATTACACAGACCAAATCTAAACACTAATATCGCTGACTGTATTATGTACTGCAGCTTCAGAGAGCACATTGCATGAAAGAATATATCAATGAAAGAACAAAGTGCCTTTAGCCAGTGTTTAAACTATAGGAAGAAAGATAGAGTGCCTTAACGAAATTCACAAACCCCATCTCCCCACAATTTTAGCTCTCACACTTGTTCTTGTAAGCCACACCTGCAGTTCTCTTCCTAGAGGTGCTGTACAAGTTATACATACAATTCTGGTATTCTAAGCCAAGTTTACAAGGACTTGTGCACAACAATCAAGCAGATGATTGGGAATCTTATGCACTTTTCTATTCAGGTAACTAACTTTACAAAGACCAACAGCATTCTACTTCCCATTATTTTGGCTGCTGCTACCAACCCTCCTTAACCTTGAAGGAATGACCTTCTTCCCCTTTGGGTTATGAGACATGGTGTCCAGAAAGAGAAACAGCTCCAGTGCTAGCTTACTTAACAGAGAATTGCCCCAAGGAAAGATTATCAACTAAGATATATCACAGAATGGTAGCAATATACAGTGGCTTATTTCTTTCACTAATCAAACTGCCACTGCCCAGCAAAATATCTGCACTGGACGTTAAACTGTTGTGCTCAGTGAGGCTCACAGCCACATAGAGACATGGTGAGAAATGTAGGGTAGGTTGGCCATTTGAATACAGGGGAGGCCCAAATCATGTTAATGCAGCCTCCTAAAACAGTAGTAGTATCTCAAGCAGTAAAGAGGGTAAAAATCCCCTGTAATCTGAGCATTTCCTTTATGACCAACTGGAAAATAATGGACTACACTAAGAATTTATGTAGTATTTATTGTTTAGGAGACTAAGAACGTAAGAGAAGCCAATGTTGGATCAGGCCAATGGCTCATCCAGCCCAACATTCTGTCACACAGTGGCCAAAAATACCAGGTGTCATTGGGATGTCCACCAGTGGGGCCAGGACACTAGAAGCCCTCCCACTGTTGCCCCCCCCCAGCACCAAGAATACAGAGCATCACTTGGTTCAGACCGAGAGTTCCTATCTATACCTTGTGGCTAATAGCCACTGATGGACCTCTGCTACATATGCTTATCTAATTCCCTCTTAAAGCCGTCCATGCTTGTAGCTGCCACCACCTCCGGTGGCAGTGAATTCCATGTGTTAACCACTCTTTGGGTGAAGAAGTACTTCCTTTTATCCTAACCTGACTGCTCAGCAATTTCATTTTTACTAAATATTTCTGATATTTACTTTTTGAACATTTAAGCAGAATTGAAACTAAAATTTCAGTCCAAGTGAAATTAAAAGCAAACTGTGGGGTACTGCAAACAAAATATTTGAAAAATATGAAGAGAAACCAAAAGAGTTTTATTATGATTCATGAAATGTCTATTGGAATTTTGCACAGCATTTTGTATCAATGAAAATCTTCATCATAATATTTCTAGATATTACAGACAATATTAATTTACCGAAGGGGGGGAGAAAAAGGTTGCCAGGTCCCCTCATAGCTCCTGCAAGGGGACTTGGGGGGTGTTCCAGGGGTGGGTGGGGATGCCCCCAAGCACTCTTTTTGTGAGTGAAGCCCCTCTCCCTCCCCTCCTGAAAGATTTAAAGGGCCCTCCAGCTGACGGGTGAGCCATGTACTCCCCGCCCATCAGCTGAAGCCCTTTAAATCTCCCAGCAGGGGAGGGAGAAGGGTGGCTGCGGGTGGCCACTCTTGGGGGCAGGGCTTCCCCCATCAGCCAGCCAGATGGTGTTGGATTGGAGCCCCAAAAGCAGGGGGCTGGCAACTCAAAAAAAATGTTAAAGATGGTAAATCTTTTGATATTTAAGAAATGTAGAACCTTAATTGCCTTAACTTACATATAAACTACTTCTTCAAAGCTACTTTGCAACACTGTTTTCTAGAACAGCAGATTGCTTCTTACTACATCCATTATAGGAATCCTGTGGAAATGTTGCATACAGACTGTTCTGAAAAGGGGAACTTATTTCAGAGAACAGACATGCCCCAAAACGTTGGATTGCATTTTCTGTCCTTGAACTATTCCCAAAATTCATCTGTATGGGAATCTTCAAAGGAACAAATCCCTGACAGCAAAAATGTTATACGGTTTGTTAGATCCACTGGGTATTAACTAATTTCATTCAATATAAAAGTATACTAGTAGAGACATAAGTGGTGATATTCAGTCATACCCATTCACTATTACAGATGGTAATCAGGTTTTGTCCTTTATCGCCAAGTATAAAGAATAAGCATTTTCAATATAAGGAAGCACATATAAGTACATGTATAGGAGAAATTGAAACAAAAAAAATAGCAAGGTAAAGTAACTATTCCTTCAGTGAAACATACACTAAAAAGCAGCATGGAAGGGGGCAAAATCACTCTTGGAACATACTGATGTGCACTTTAATACCTTCCCCCTTTTAAAAAGTATCATGCCCATTATCTCTCCCTCCTTTCCTCCTATAAAAGCAGTTAAAAAGGTGCATGAGAAGTTTCATTTCTTGGCAATGACTCCCCATAACCCGTTTTCAAGCACAGCAGCAATTCACCTAATGGAACCGAATCACTTGCAAAATCAATACACACAGGTAGCCAGGTCAAATTACAAAATTTTATCGTTTTTCATCCTAGAAGCCATTAAGATCCCTCAAAACCTCTGCTCAAGGATTCCACACAAAGTAGGGACAGTTGTAAGTACT